AAAATTAAAAGAACTTCTACGGGAATTGTTATATCTGTTCAATTAGCGTCTTCGGTACAAATAAAAAGTCTAAGATCATGGTGTGCAGCTAACTTTTACAATGATGATGCAAAATTGAAATTCCACATTTCTCTTGGATATTTATACAAAAACGTTGAAGAAGATCTCAGTCAACCAATACATAAACTGGAAGAATGGATAAAAGAAAATATTCCAGTTATAGTGGTCAGGCGACCTACACCAACTATATTTCTGTCTATGGAAAACTTCCAATCGGCAATCCTCGGGTGAATCCGCGCTACTCCTTAGACGGAGGAACGGAGTCGGCCGAATTCGAGAAAACTTTTTTCTTTTTTTTAGGTATTGCAGAGCATTTGGCAAACTTAGGATTAGCAATTCGAATTCAGAATTTTTAAACTAATGCACAGGGTATTCATCTTTTGTTAGTGGATGAGTGTGGTTTTTCTTCTCAGGACTCAGAAACTGTAATAGATAAATAGAAACTTTAAAAACTTCAGAAAAAATTATCAGCAGGATAAGATCTACTAATACGTCAACACGACTGATATTGTCAGTTAACTCTTGATAGAGTTATTTCCATTTAATGATGTTTTTTTTAACTAAAAAGTGTGCAGGTGAGCGACACAGGCTCTTCTGAGCATTTAGTTTAAATATCTGGTTAGATTGGAACGGTTTCATAACGTTTTGAAGAAAAAAAACACCAATGATTACCTTTCATATAAGCAAACGAAAAGACAAATCACATATACGGTATTGGTGTAAAGAAAGAAAAAATGTTTGCGCCTGGCCTTTGTTAGTCTTGTATGCTTTTTAATTTTGTATATGTTTCGGAGTTCAGTGTGACGTCCATTTTTTCTGATCTAGTACACATTTTTGTTTAGAGGCCAGCTGAAGCCCTCCTCCGGGTGCGGGATTTTCTCGCTGTGTTGAAGACCCATTGGTGGCCTTGGGCTGTTTTATGCTCTTTGGTCGGTTTTTGTCTCTTTGACACATGCCCCGTTTCCATCATCTCAATCAATTTAAGTCATATACGGTATTGGTGTCATGATTCCTTGTTTTAATCGGTAATATGTGTTACAACGAACATTAGCATGGCTTTCATCTTAAAAAATGAAAAAATAAAATAAAAACATACATCTGAGAATTAACATTATTTTCTATAAACACTTTTTGTTGTGATCTTCGTTTTTGAGTGTTTTTCCAGTCTTGTTTTTGTTACTTATCCCAGCATACCCTTTTTGATATGGAACCTTGTGGTACAATGTCAGAGAGATACATACACTAACACACAAGTTATGTCTGGAAGTTACAAAAATGCTTATTTTTGGCCCCTAGTTCCTTAACTGTTGGTACCATAACCCCCAAAATCAATCCCAACCTTCCTTTTGTGGTATTGAACCTTATGGTAAAATTTCATAGAGATCCATTCACTTAAACTAAAGTTAGAGTGCGAAAACCAATGTGTCTTCGGACGACAACGACGACGACGCCAACGTCATACCAATATACAACCGCAAAATTTTTTTGCGGTCGTATAAAAATGTCAATGCATATTTTTTTTAATATATTTATTTGGAATAAGTCCATTTAATAAGAATTATTCTAAGTTTTCTTGTCGCTTCTTGACGTTTCTTGTCGCTTCTTGACGCTTCTTGTTGCTAATTAGTGAGACCCCTTATCATTTGCTAGTCGAAAGAAGGACGGTTCTGATCTCAAAACATAGTTTTATCCTGCCAGATATTCAAAAGGGTCTGGATGTGGGTCTTATATTCTGTATCGACATTTAGCTGTATTCTTTATTTTTTGCCCAATATTCTATATTCTGTAAACCCCATCCAGACCCTAATTCATATGCCTTTGCAAAGTCAGGAAGCTCGTCAATGGTTGTCTTATGTCATATCTTGTCGTAATGAGGGTCTGGATCGGGGTCCTTCAATCGTTTTGCCATTTTTTTTATTCTTTATAAATTTTGCCTGTAATTCTCTATTCTTTATATCTTAGCACCCATTATTCTCTATTCTTTATATGTTTGTCCTTTAATTCTGCACGTTTTGTCCATTATGCTTTATTCTGTAAAGGCACTGGCTACGGTTACATGTAAATGTAACAATAATATAAAAAATATTGTTACATTGGAGACTAATTGCCGGAATGCAGGGTTGGGTAAGGAACCGATTAATTACGAATGTAATAATAATATTTGGGTCTACGGTTACATTGCGTTATTGTTACATTAACGCACCGCAATGTACGATGGGAATAGTAATAAATATGTATTAAAATAAAACTTGAAAACTTTTATTTGATATTTACTATATTGCATACAATATTTTGATTTTTTATTTACGATGACAGTTTCTACAAATCCAGTATGTTGTTTTTGGAGCATGTTTTAGTCCGACGCATTTTCGGTGAAACCACTCTAAGCAGCCATCACAAACCAGTGATACGGCAATGTGCACTCTCTATATTTCATACCGTACAATTCCATTCTGCATTTTCCCTTTATGAAGTTTAAGAATTTTTCAATGTCTGAATGCCATGCTTCAGGTGAAAAATATTTTGTTACTCTTGCGATGTTTACATTTTCGTCCAATATTTTTTTTTGGAAGCATGTTAGGTAGTTTAAATACAAGTCAATTGTGAAAGCAGTTAATGTTGACATTTGCCGACAGATTGAAATTGGTGGAAACAGTGTTTTCATTTTTAGAGTCCAGATATTTTGTGATCTTATCAGTCGTGACAGTACATGCTCTATTGAACAGTTTATGAAGTATTCATCAATACTGATAGTGAACTAAACTGTAGTAGTCATGATTTTTAACAACACCAAAAACAATCAATGAGGGTGGTAAAGGGGGGACCTGAAAACGGAAACACGTGAAATAAAAATCGAAAAAACGTTGCACGGAAAATAAAAATCGGGAAAAACGAAGCACGATAAATTAAATCGTAAATATTAAGGAAAAAAGTACTAGGAGTTATTACTCAGCCGTTCTTGGAGATCATGCAGTCATTATTTATGGACATGAAGACCCTGCGGTCATCTTTTAGCGTCCGCTAGTTGCATCTGATTTGAAAAAAAATATTACTCATAGTAATTTGATGGACTTTATTACATACCATACATATAATATAGAATTGTAAATATCCGAGGTGACTTTGAATTAGTCCCGTTTATTTTTTAATCAAACTCGGGACAAGCACGAGAAATTTAGAGTACCGACACGAAACACGGAAAATAATTAATATTTATTTTCCGTGTTTCGTGTCGGTACTCTTAATTAAAGGGGAAACACGAAGCACGCACATCGAACCAAACACGAGAAAACGAGAAATAAAACGTCAAAACACGAAAACACGTGAAATAAAAAAGCCGAAAACGTTGCACGAAAATAACCCTTTACCACCCTCATCAATACTTATTCGCTGAATAATATTATTATCATTAATATTATCTAGTACATATCGAAGAATTAAGCAACATAACTATAGAAGGTTTAAGTTTAATAAATCTATCATACATTGCAGTCTTTAATATAACAATAACGCAATGTAACCGTAGACCCAAGTATTATTGTTACATTCGTAATTAATCGGTTCCTTACCCAACTCTGCATTCCGGCAATTAGTCTCCAATGTAACAATATTTTTTATATTATTGTTACATTTCCATGTAACCGTAGCCAGATCCTTCTGTAAACCCCATCCAGACCCTCCCCAATGTTGATGACAGATCTTTGGTACTTACTGTTTAACCTAATATTCTCAACAATATTTTACCCTGTATCTTTGGAAAAAAACCAAGGAGTTCGAACATCTGACAAAAATTCCTAATCCTGACCTGTGTATCCTATATATTCTCAACTTAGATGACTTGAGCTAGACAATGTATATATATATCGGTCTATTGTTGAAAACTCTGCATTTCCCTCTATTGGTTGTTTGTGTCTTTAGGTTGCTGTCAAAGTGATGTATACCACACATCTACTTTTGAATAACACAAATTTATCAATTGAGTAATTTTGTATTGATGGATTATTGAATTTGATGCTTAATGGCCAGTGGCAAATATTTCATGCATAATTGGACACAAACATGAAGGATGGATGACTGTTTAAAGTCCAGTGGCATATAAAATGCATTCCTGCAAAGAACATGATAGTTAAATATGAATATAAACCCTACTTCGTACTAGACCGATGCACTGAGTCTTAATTATTTTTTAAATTTTAGTTCAAAAGGTAACAACAGTCTGCAGGGTGACATGTCCAGGGGCGGATCCAGCCATTTTCAAAAGGGGGGTTCCCAACCCTATATAAAGGGGGGGATGGGGGTTCCAATCATATGTCCCCATTCAATTGCATTGATCGTCCAAAAAAAAAGGGGGGGGGTTCCAACCTCCAGAAACCCCCCCCCCCCCCCCCCCCCCCCCTTGGATCCGCCATTGCATGTCAATCTTCCAGAACACATGATTATGACTGAGCCAACCAGTCTTGTTCAGTGGTTGTCTTTTGTTGGTGTGGTTCATAAGTGTTTCTCGTGTCTCATTTTTTATATAGATTAGACCATTGGTTTTTCCCGTTTGAATTGTTTTACACGAGTCTTTTTGGGACCCTTTATAGCTTGCTGTTCGTTGTGAGCCAAGGCTCAGTGTTGAAGGCCGTACTTTGACCTATAATTGTTTACTTTTTACACATTGTGACTTGGATGGATAGTTGTCTCATTGGCACTCATACCACATCTTCTTATTTATATTTGCTCTTACTCCTAAATACTGTGTGCTTAGTATAAAAACAACAAATACCAATTTTGAAGTCTTTGGTTTAGACTCCGTTTGACTGGGCCTGTGATGGAACAAATGACCTCCCGCACTCTAGGCTAATACGCTACCACAAGACCACTGATACAAAAACATAAAGGATGGTTACCATAAAATAAGACAGCTGATAATAATATTGTAAGAAAACAAAGCAAACCAGAATTTCCTCATTTATTTGCACAGTTTTTACAAACATTTTGATAAAATTTAAATATTCATATAAAAGGAACACTACTCAAAGCAGAGTATATTTTGCATAATAATAATATAATCACATCTACAATGTCGTTCACATAAGCAAATAATAGGTCACATGATCACCTTAATCTGTATGACCTTATGACCTTGACACCATTCAAAGAAAATATCCCCTTTTAAATTTTAAAGCTAATTATTTTTACAAGATTTTGTTTGTACACAAAAGTATATCAGTACTTTGTTAACCAATAAATATATTCAGAGGCAGATTTAGGGGGAGGGGGAAGAAGGCCTTATGGAGCTACATATATTGTTAAAACATAGACTTTTTACGAGTCCTAATCCTAATGCTGTCTTTCCAGTGGTTCCCCCTTTTTTCCCCCAAAATCAGGGGTATGTGCCTGTTGTTTATGCAACTTTTGCAATTATCGAAATAAATTGAATTCAAATCATCCAGAATTTTTCCGAGATTGGATCCTCTCTAAATGATTGTTTAATAGTATAACTTCTGAAATTTTTACAATATTTTTACTTCCATATATCAACGCAATTTTGGAATGATTTAATTTTTGGTTTTGCTGGTCCCATGAATCTTAACATGATGGTTTCAAGGAATAATTTTACATGTGCATTTTCTGCATAAAAATCAGAAATACCAGATCAATAATTTGATGTAAAAACAGGAATTTTTTCAGTATAAATTATAACAAGAAGATTTCAATACAAAAACAAAAATCTTCATTTGTTCAAATGAGTAACAGTTGCATTACTTGAGTATACATTTTTGCTGAAAATTTTAATGGCAATAAAATTTTCTGTACCTTGAAAATTCTGGTTTGACCAGACATATCAAAAAACATTTGGGCTCTTTTCACCATGCAAGATTTTTCTTTTTTTTAGAGAAATAACCTTTATTACTGATAATTCCAAAAAATTTTACTTAAAGTTAGATAACCTTAATTTCTCAAGATATAAATCAAATTATCTCCAGATCAAAGCTTCCATCAACATCCATGGAACTATTTTACCTGTGTAGGAATTCATACTGGTGACGTCATGAAACAGGTTTGTACATGTATACATTTTTGGTTACTATGACGTTCACCAATGAAATAAGACCTTACAAACACAGTTTGAAATATAGCTCAATTAATTAATATTTTTAATATATTTAAAGGATCTGCTGTGACAACTGGGTCTAACACATTGTTTTTTCTGACACCATTCAAGAAAAGACAACCACATTTCATCCATAAAGTTTTGGACATTTTTGTCAAACAGCCAGGATAAATTCACAGAATTCATTAAGCAATGATAAGCACATTGAATCAGTATCATTGTGAGCACTGAAGGGTGAAGATTGCTTTCATTTTGGAATGAGAACTTAAAATTAAACATTTCATTGCATTGCATTTAGCAATATTTGAATTGGAGTTATCTTTCTTTGTCCATAATTGCTGTTGAACCAATTTATATCCAGAGTCCTACACCATGCACAACTTATGAAATTTTTATTCAAATATTTTTCTTCACATACACATCATTTTGTAAATTGAATATCTGAGTATATATTATAGATAAGTTGTTTATTCTCTTAAAGATAGAGATGAAGTCTGGCAGATATAGATACAGCTTTCAATTGGTGTTTGATTGCATTTGATGAAATCTTTAACTAGAAAAGGATTAAATAGATTTAAGTTAACATTATTTTTATTCTCTCTATTCAGAAGATTATCTTATAGTTTATTTTTAACATTTGCAGTTTAAGTCTAAACTTCCTCAATCATTGTACCTGTTTTAACCAATGCAACAATTTCAAAACAACAATTCACAGTAAGTGAAGAGGGTCTGGATGGGGTCCTTCTTTCTGTATTCTTAAATTTTTCTATGTAATTGTTCTCTCTATTCTTTATTTTTTTTGCCCTTTATTCTAAATTCTTTGTTTTTTGTCCTATTTTTCTCTATTCTTTATTTTTTTCCACTATTTTTCAGTTAATTTAGCCCATTATTCTCTATTATGTAAATGAAACCCCATCCAGACACTCATAGAACAAGTAAATGAATCAATTGTATCTCCTAAAATTTCCTAAAACTTGCAGAACCTCTATTAACCAACTTATTTTCATGAGCAATTTATTTTTGCTAGATTTGTAAAATTTGCCTTTGCTCTATAATGAATACACAAACAACTGTGGAAAATCAGGGAAATAAATTGCTGCGAAATAGGCTAGAAAGAACGAAATGTGAAAAAAAGGTATCCACAAAAATGAAGTTGGTTTACAGAAACTTGAGGCCCACAAATTTTCAAATACACTGCTGCGGTTTCTAATTCAAAGGCAACTGAAAGAAAACACTAAAATCATACATTTTAAAATAATTCACAACACTTCTGGAATGGATATCCTGATAGGACAAGGTTCACTTTAGGCCAAATATGGCCTTGAATTTCAACTTTATCATAAAATTTCAAAATTGCTATAATTTGGTTCTTAAATGAAAATATTTCAAAAGTCTTACTTCTTTGTTAAAATAAATCTCTTCACAAGAGTACATTTTTGGCTTCAGAATCAGCACATTTTGGATATAATGTCAAAACACTATGATTTTGTGCATTTTTCGGACCTAATAGCTTGAGGAAACTCTTGGCCACAACCTAGGATCCAAAATGTTCTGTAATAAAAAGTTGCCAATGATGATATTGCATCCTTAGACACAAAAACTTTCTGGATCATGGGTGGCAGCCAAAGTAAATTATGCAAAACACTGTTAAGAATTATTAAAAATATGACAAAACTGATGTTACAACACAAATAGTGCATACCTGCCAACTGTCACTATTTGGGGGGGGGGGGGGGGGGGGGGGGGGTTTCCCCCATGGAGGCTCCCAAATGGAAATTTTGAAAGAGCTATTTTGTCCACAATTTTAAACAAAACAATTAATTTTACAATGGCTATAGGCTTTTAAAAGTATGAAGAAGCCAAAAAACAACATTAAAATATATTTGAAGGCCCCCTTGAAGGTTTTGTAGGATTATAAGACCCATCTTGCACATAAAACCCCCATGGGCATTTTGAAAAGTTTGCAGGTATGATAGTGCATACTTAAGGCGTACAAAAATGAAGTTATTTTGTATTAATAGTAATATCACACTATTTTTATGTGAAATTTGTAGTATTTGGGCCAGATTAAAAAAAACATCAAAATCTTAGGGCCAAATTTAACCCTTCGTGAACCTACTCCTTTGTGGCGTTATTCAAATTGATTTATACTCTTTTAAGACAATGTATGGTTCTTCTATATTTATATGACTTGAATTTTTCTTGAAAATGAAATGTTCATTTGTCAACAAACAATATTAACATAATAAAACGAAAATCAAGAAAAATTAATAACAGATATTGTACAAAGTGGGAAATGTTTGTTCATTTCACGATTAAGACAAAAAAAAACAAAATGCCAGCTGTGTCATAAAGATATATTTAAATAAATGGGGAATGTGTCCATGGGACACAAATGATGCCCCCGCTTGAATATAACATTATAAAGGAACATAACTCAAGAATGGTAAAAGTGATGCTACCCAAATTCGTACTTGATCTGAGTTGTGTGGTAGTAAGCATTGTGAATAAGTTTCAAAATATTTGGTTGAGGCAAACTAATGTTAGAGACTGGAAACCAATTTTGGGACGTATGGACTGGACAAGGGTAAAACTTAATGCCCCCCACCGCTAAGGCGGGGCATAAAAAAGATTGTCAGGGAAAATATTTTTTCTACATTGCCTCTTATAAATAAAAAGCAAAAGTAAGAAATGTTACAACCAAGCATCCTAAATATGAGATTCTAAAAGTGTTTTGATTTGAATTGAGCAAAACATAGAATTTTTAGTTTTGTCCAATTCACTTTAGGTATTACTGACCTAAGAATCCCTTAGAACTTAATCACTTGTATTTGTGTATATATCCTAACTTTGTATTTTACAGATCTATATCATGTATATATACATCCGACTCTTTACACTTTTTTATTTTAAAAATGAAAAAATAAAATACTACATTTTCATTTTCAAAAATAAAATTAAGTCAGTCAGATCTGAAGTTTTTCTCTAATATTCATTTTAAAAAATAAGCACTAGATATTTGTAAAAACATTATTATGACTAGTAATCCAAATTTGGGTGCTTTCTTTTTAAATAAAAAAAAATTGAAATAAAATTCTTGTTAAAAACAACATACATTGTAAAACAGAAAAATAGATTATATAAAAAATAAATAAAAATGAAATATTGGGAATTTTGAAAAATTATAAAAATAACAAGCAACTTAACAATATAAAGCCTGAGAAACGAATATAAAACAACAAAATATGATACATTTCTTGTAGTTTTAATCACAACCAGAGTTATCTCCCTTTTACCATATACACTTAAACTGTGTCAAACAGTTGGTATATTTTGAATCAAAATAATTATCTTAAAAGATTTTTTTTCAGAAAATCAAGGAGCTAAAATTCTTTACAACCATTCTTCAGAAAATAACTAGACCAATTTTGAGGTCTTATTTGTGAATGAGTTATGCTAGTTGACCAGAGGTCATTTAGCACAAATGATGTCATTGAACAGTTGGCTCTTACTATGACTTTATAATATAAGCATTGTGATGTTGGAAATGTAAGGGAAAATGCCACAATGTGTAAGTTGTCTAAACATAATCCATAAATTTCTGTCAAATATGATCTGATAATTGTACTGTATACAATTTTTAATGGCACACAATTTCTGGTTTAAGAGAAAAAATTAGATGCTCATATTTTACAGATACCAAATTAAGTTAATTATGTATAATACAGCTACAAATGATACATGTACAATCATTTTCTCTTTCTATGTTGATACAAAAAAAGCAAAAATCACAAAAATACTTTTTTGTCCCAATTCTTTTCCACACGAGGATCTACTTTGTATTGCTGACCTTTCAAAAATGTACTCACAATGCAACGCTTTGGACCCTTAAAAGTCCATTCTCCATCACCAGTCCTTTGCAATTAAAAAAAAGATTTAGGATAATCAGATACAAGCAATGAATCTTGCAGCTAGTAAAACTTTTTCATTTATTTTTTTCTCCTCATAAGATAATTGCCTAAAGAGAGTTATTCCACAAATATCTTTTATTCTGACCAAATTCCTCTGTTTAAATGATCAACCAAAAATTTTAACCATGATAATTATATTGAAATTTGATCAGTAATTTTGAGAAGATAAAAAATCTAAAAAACATGAATGACTGGAAATGTGGAGTATATGTCATTGAGACATCAACCTGACAAAACGAATACAAAGAATGCACTCTTTGGTTCAGGTTCAGACACCAAGCGTTGACAACAGGTCTTATCGGCTCATTTGTTTGTGAGCTAAAAATCTCTAGTCTGGCACAATTCTGCAGTTGTGCATTTTTTGTCCAAATATCTGCATACAAGGCAAATGAAAATGATTCTTGCAGTTAGCCCATGATTAAATGACCTTTGCACTTTACAATCAGAATTGCGTCAGAGGTCAGCAGTCACTCTGACCCGGACCACAGTCTGACGGAGTCCGTAATATTTTTAATTCATCTTCTAATTGTCTTATTCTTTTGTCTTTTAATTTCACCTGTTCTTTCAAACTCTTCATTTCTTCCGATTGTTGGAAGTAAGCTTTCTGTAACTATAAATAGAAAATATGATAATGATAACAGGTGCTCTTTAAAGTTATTTAAAAATATGTAATATTGTGTCATATTTCAAATATTGATGGTCTGCTGTCTCGTAGACATTTACCCCCAATATTTCCTTCATAAACATGTACTCTTTTAATTCTCAATTAAATGCATAATACTCCAAAAATATAATATGAATTATCAAAAACATTGGCCAGTACAACAAACTTGACTATTCAACCATGTGAATAAATTGACTTTAGCATATTTTTGTCTGTGTTCCCAATTGCCGATTTTGCTATGTATTACCTATTGCATATACTGTAATGATAGCTGGTAATATGGTGTGCAGCTCCTAGGTAGCACAAACTGTATACCTGCCTAATGGAAAGGGCATTTTTTGAAGTACATAAGCTGTAATGAACTGTTATGAATTTTCGTTATGTTATCCACAATTTTACAATCCCATTATACAAATAGGTAATGCACTACTCAAGAACAGTAAAATTATTGTCTAATCTTGCACACTAAACCATGCTTGTTCTGCTTGCTCTGCATATGGAGGGATACAGTTTTTACTACCTAGGAGCTGTTACCCTTTGCCAAGCATTCTCAAATTGGAAATAAAGACAGCAATCTGAAAATGGATTATTTCAGAGAATAGCATTTATCACATAAAAGAATTAACATGTTGTATCTAATATAAATATGAAACACATTAAAGACATAAATAAAACAATGACAGAAAAATATTATGACAAAATAAAATATATATTAGTGGTTCTAATTACAAAATCAAAGAAGTTTGGGTTGGGGTGAAGAAAAGTGATGCATAATTGTGCCTATTTTGAAAGTGAAGAAAAATTGGAACTGAAAACAAAAAATTAGGGAACCAGTCAGAACCACAAATACATATCATTTTGACCTTTACACAATGTGGTTGAAATACAAATCTGGAGTCCAAGCTTCACTTACAAGGGTCTGACAACACTCCATTCTACATTTTCTGTTCTGGTAGTAATCAGCCAATGAAATGTCAGCCTTAACATTTTTTAACCAATGAAATTTCTCCCTCAAAAACAACAAAACCTGATGATCTCAAATGTACTTCATAGCAGACGGTCACACAGAACATTGTCAGATCCTTGCGAACAAAGCATGAACAGAGGATCTGTTTTTAAACCAGATTGGCCTGAACAGAACTAAAAGTGGAAGAGATACCCACCTCCACGTCATTAAGTGGTGATTGACAAGGAAGAGCAGAAGGAGGCGGAGTTGACCAGACTTTCTTGACATGAAATTTCTACAAAAGCATATATGGACAGGAACAAAGCTTTATATATTTGTTTATATTGTGCAGACAGATATACATTGAAGCTGAACTGTAAAGTGAGCTACTTTTCTCTGTCACAATTGTATAAAAAACCTGAAACACGAGCAGACGACATAAGGACATTGAGATATGGCAACAGCTCGCATTGGCCAATGGAACTTTAATTCAGTTAAAAAATTAAAACTATTTCCATCCAAATTATAATGAAAGCAATTAAAACTCAATCTTTTTAAAAAAAAAATGATTATCTTGAATAATCTTATTCAAAACTAGCAATGGTCAATTTCTGTTTCAATTTCTAAAAAAATTACAAATCATATAGATGTACAGAGATATATCCTGCTCACTTTACAGTGTAATATACTTATATATATAAATATTTTAACTTCAGGGGATCATCATAGGATGAAATACAGTGAATGATAAACAACCGCTCATTTTAAAAACAACTTCATAAACATGTAGTGCTAATTCAGAAATTTTAGTGTGCATTAGTTATAGCAATTGAAAAACAATGGAAAAATTAGGCAAAAAATCATTACTTTTACAGGAATTGCTGTATATCAATAATGATTTCAAAATTTTGAATGTGAGTTTATATTTTTTTTTACAAAATCAATCTTGTTGTAATTTTTCGCAATAATAAAAAAAAAAATTGCAAAAATTTCTGAATCAACAGTTGTATCTAATCACAGAACCAATTCAATTTTGTAAGGGCTGTTCCAGATTTTGCGCATGGGGGATGGAAGGCATTTTTTTAAGACCACCCCACCAACAAAATAAAAATTTTCATTTTACTTACAGTATATTTCTTACAAAATTCTAAGGAAAATGCAACCATCCATATTTGATTAATTTGGGGCCTCCCATTCCCCAACATAATAAATTTTGGAACAGCCCTTAGAAAAACCTGATAAATGAGAATTTTCAACAAACAGGAAATTGCCAACTGAATTTAATCAACAGAACATGGATTTACTGTCTCACCATAACCTCCCTTTTCATATTAGTTTGTACGATTATCTCCCTTTTCTGCTGTGGATACAAAGGGCATGCTTCATTAACTTGTGTGATGATATGGTGGATTCTTAAAGGGCATGCTTCAATAATTTGTGTGATGACATGGTGGATTCCTTTTTTTATGGGTACCAATTTTCAAGGATTGAAAAACAATACATAGTATTTTTGTGGATATTTTTTTTCTTGGTTCTGCCAAAGACTGCATATAAGTCTATATAAAAATTTATACTTCCTTGAACATTTGACCAATAGCCACAAATTCCACGTAAAATTGGTTTCTGACTAACTATAATGAATCCTTATTACTTTCCAAAAAAGTGAAAATAAACAATATCATTTTAATAAATTAAGGAGATTTTGACCCACAGTCAGAGTTTTATAATATGTCCAAAAATAAAAAGATAAAAACAAAATCTTGTGACAAAACCAAAAAGTATGGATGGATAAAATGATAATAGCAATATTGTTCCTTTTGTATTACCTGCAAATATTTTTTTGAGAAAAAAAATTCAGACAAGATAAGACAATACTGACATTTGTCTTCTGTTTAACTGATTATGAAGAATAATATTTTGAAACCAAAGTCTAAATCCATATATTCTTTGGCAGCAATACGGACCTAAAGTCTACATCCATGTATTCTATGCAGCAATACACCTTATCGCTATTTAGTCCAATCCGGAAAAAACAGTCATTTAGACAACTTCCTGTTTGGGTCAACAGGCAGCAAACAAAGGTCATCAGTAACGAGCTGAGGGAGGGAAAATTTTAGAAAGCGATCAATAGGAAACTTTGATAGATTATGATCCACTTTTTCCAAACTCAAATTATAGTCAAAAAAATATTTTGTTTGAAGTATTTATGATGTTTTAAACAGGTCTCATTAAAAAGTATCATGCACGGTGCATTGTTAAAACAGGGTCCCAGATAGCTTCAACTGGATGAAAAAGTTGTGTAATTTTAGAATTTATCCGGAATGGAATAAATAGCGATTAGGTGTATACAGACTCAGGTCTGCCTATAAAATACTTGTATTCTATGCAGCAATACAGACTCAGGTCTACCTAAATAAAACATGTATTCTATGCAGCAATACACACTTAGGTCTACCTAAATACATGTATTGTAGGCAGTAAAAGGACCCAAGATCTTGACAGCTTAACAGAATCCATTTTGTACCTCTCCCCCTTTCCCTTCACTCAACTTTCCCGTACAAATATCACATGCCAAATAACACATTAATTCATTCTCCTGCTGTCACATTTTTGAATTCATTAAAAAATCGCAAGTTTTTTTTAACGATTTGGAACATTGATCTGCCAATGATTATTTCACATAAGATACCAGTGAATTCAGGTTGGGCGGGTACTGTTGATTCATTATTATTCATGGGCTGCCAATTTTCGTGGATTTCCTGGGAACACAGCAAATTTAAATGTTCAACTAAGTATACTTTTTTCTAAGCTTGTATGCAGACTTTGCCAAAACCATGAAATTAAATATTTACGAAATAAAATTGAGAATGGAAATGGGGAATGTGTCAAAGCGACACCAACCCGACCAAAGAACAGAATACAGCCCAAGGCCACCAGTGAGAAAATCTCGCACCTGGAGGCATGATTTTACCTCAATCCACATAAAATTAGTATCCACGAAAATAAATTATTCCACAGTAAATGTATATCAAATTAACCATATGGAATAGTAAACTTAAGATCAAATTCTGTAGTATTTCAAAGAGAGGAGCAGGTATATTTAGGAGGTTCCATCAGCTCAGTGTAAGGGCTATTCCATTAAAATGTATGTGGGAGGGTAGGAAGGGACTTTCAAAATATCCCTACAATCAAGAACCATTTTTTAGATAATTTTGCATAATGGTAAAAGACGCATACTGAAAAAAGACTCATGACCCACATTCAATAATTAAACTTCCCTTCCTACCCTCCCACATACATTTTAAAGGAATAGCCCTAATGTCAGTTCTTATGACACCCCTTGATTTGTTGGAAGTATACAAAAGCATGAATAGAGCATTGTTAAACAGAAAAGCGCTATTCAACAGAAATAAAATTCATTTTAATGATAAAACTACAATTGTTCTAACTAAAGCGTTAAATTAAAAACATATAACTGTTCAGACAAAAAAGTATATGGCAGAAAATTGGACGCATTAATTGATGTTTGTTTAACATCTGAGATGAAATATAACATAAGGTAATGTAGTGACAGACTAACTAAGGTTTAGAGATTAACTTTGTATTTCCTGAAGGACTTTGATTGTTATTCGGTGATGAAAAGACAAAGGTTAAAGGTCATCTTCATATTTCACGAAAAAGAAGCTATAAATAGAAAAGCTAGTCAGATTTTTATTATTAAATTTCTACTGGTTATATGAAGAGATATAATATCTATCAATAAGCTTCAGCACTATAGCAACTTACATAACTACGATCACATGATACCTAATTAACATAAATTATGTTAGCGCGCTAATTTAAGAATTGATAAAATCAAAAAATGAATGTATCTGGCATCTCAGTTATACTCAGGCAATCCTATATACCATCTACACATTTTTCCCTGGTTTATCATTGTTGTGTGATTAATAATTGGCTAAACCTTAATATTTCCGACATATGATTCTTTAATCCTTGGCAGACCTGAGAGACTTGATACCTTATAAAAAGGTTCAACTCAAATCATAAAATTTTCCAAATCTGTTTTTTTTTAATCCATTGCAGACCTGTGTGAGTTAATTATAAACAAAAATCATCTAGAATTATGATATTATTCAAACTAAAACAGTGTAACAGAAAATCTTTGATGAAAATGCAAACAAGGTCTGTTTGAATAAAGAAAGTGTAATAGGTCTGTTTGATTTAAGAAAGTGTCAAGTACATTTAAAGCTAAGCATGGTAAATTTTGACAGGAAGACAGTAACAAAATGATGAATGTGCTAAGGTTATTAAATAAATCAATAGCAAATTTAATAGACAATTACCTCAGGCTCAGAACCAGTAAACCCATTAGTCATTGTATCTTTTGTTGGCGAAACAGGGGACCAGCCTTTCTTTGTTACTTTCTTTTCTTCCTTGTGGCCGTTAGTCATACCATTTTTATTATTGTGGTTCTCAGAAGCATCACTGAAAGATGTTAAACACAAGTAGAACTGTGAGCTCTTCGCTGTTTCAGAATAAGATGCATTTTGGGTAGTTTCGTTGTTTGTACCCGAAAATGAAAACGATGACACTTCATTAGTTGAATTTCAATTGTTTGGGATGTTGTTAGCCAATCACAGCTTTTTGGTGAACGCTTTTAAAAATATTACCCAGAATGCATTAGATACTGAAAGGCAAATTATTCACTAATGATACCCCTGCTTTTAAGTATTTTGTACATTAAAGAAGATTATTTGAAGTTAAAGAGCAATGGATATGAAAATGCACCGAAAGGTACTGTGGATTTTGTGGGTGTACCAATTATCGTGAATAAGGAAAAAATGTATTTGCGTGGATATTTGATTTGGTGGTTTAGCCAAAGTCTACATAAAAGCCTATAGATAATTGGCACTTCGTTGAACATCTAAATTACCTATACCCACGAAAAATGGATATCCCACGAATAGATTGATGAATTCACAGTACTCCCTTATAATAACCCCGCTTTCAAGTATTCTGTAAACAGGAAGTTGAAAAGCAATGGATATGAAAATGCACCACAAAATTTTGCATGTTCACCCGAAGCCTGACAATAAATTTCTGGCAGCTCTTACTTGCTGTGTCCATAGAAAAATGTGACAAAAATTTCATACATGGCTATTACATGTTCCAAATTTAAGTAATCAGTCAACAGGAAGATGAATTTGAAAAAGCATTACACTGTCAAGCATGCTCACACATGAAGCCTGATAAAAAAATTTAAGAAAGCTCTTATTTGTAGTTCCCTAGAAAATTGCTAATTTTTTTTTCGATGATAAAAATTCTTTAAATAATTGATTGATTTTCAATAATTATTATAATCAATAAACCGAAACTTCACCAACAGATTAGATACTGAAGTTATACCTGACAGCACTATAAGATACGTAATCTTCATTAGTACTGAGTCGCTTCAGGTTCTGTAGTGATGCAGGTCGCTTGTCTGTCCTCCGCGGTACATCTATCGTATTAGCTCGTGTAGGCATGCCCTGTTTGTTGACAGTTTTGTACGTGGTAATGGTGGGAGCCTGATGGATGATATCATTCTGTTGGTTCTGTATGGCTGTTGATGATGTCGTCTTAGGACAATTTGTCACATGACCATCCTATAAAATATATTGTTTTATTATACTTCATGTCAAAATGCCAGATTTTGATTGGTTAATACGAGGGAGACAATTTACTCTATCCCATGGCAAATACTCTATTACCCTTCACAGAGATGCTTGCTCAAGTGTGCGCTTTAATAAATACTGAGGATTTTTATGTACAAGACGTCATACTTTATTACTTTGAATTTGAAATTTAATAGAGAGTAATAACAGAACATTCAGTATAATAAATTAAATAACACATATCTGAGAGGGTGATAGAGCAGATTGTTACCACTGGAAAAGACATTGTCAACCTTGGCTTCGCCTCAGTTGACAATGTTTTCTCGGAGTAACAATCTGTTCTATCATTTTTGGGGCCCTTCATAACTTGCTGTTCGGTTTGAGCCAAGGCTGTGTGTTGAAGGCCATACTTTGACTTATAATTGTTAACTTTTTATACATTGTGACTTGGATGTAGAGTTGTCTCATTGGCACTCATATTTTCTTATCTATATAACATTGATAACAATGCTGGTTTCCTATTTTCACCTGATATTCTTTCGTCACCTGTTAGTGAGGGTAACAGACTAATTGTATAGGGCATATTTACTAATTGTACATTTATATGGTATGAATTTCCTTCTGATTTCAGATCCTATTTGATACTGTTGCACAGGTAAATTGTACAGTGTTCTGTTCACACAATACAATTTTCCATTTGATTAACCAAACAACACCCTATTTTAGTGTTCACACTATGCGATTTTGTCAAAACGACATTAAAGGTAAATAAAAATCAGATGGAAAATTGTACAGTGTAAAGCTACCTTTAGGTTTAAGATAGATAACTCACCATCATTGACACCATTACTGGTTCCCTGTTTTGACCTGATATCCATTCATCAGCTGTTAGTGATGGTAACATGCTGGATGTATTGGGATAAATATCACTATGGAACTGAGAGGAGGCCTGAAATGTAAAACATTTTTACATATTGAATACTATATAATCTGATGTTCAGTAGTTGTGGTTTGTTGATGTGGTTCGTAAGTGTTTCTCGTTTTTTATATAGATTAGACCGTTAGTTTTCCCGTTTGAATCATTTTACACTAGTAATTTTTGGGGCCCTTTATAGCTTGCTGTTCGGTGTGAGCCAAGGCTCCGTGTTGAAGACCGTACTTTGACCTATAATGGTTTACTTTTATAAATTTTGACTTGGATGGAGAATTGTCTCATTGGCACTCATACCACATCTTCTTATATCTATTTAAACCTTCTCAATTTTGCAAGAAATTTATATCAGCTACTTTTGCAATATAAAAATAACACGATAATTATCGTCGTGAAATTGTTTAACTAGGATCTTGTTCACAAATACATGAGGGTCTAAATGGGGGTCCATCAATTCTTCATTCTTTAATTGTTTATAACATTTTCTCTATTCTTTATATTTCAACATCCCCTTATTCTCTTTTTTCTATTTTTGGCCTATTTTTCTCAATTTTTTATATTTTTTGGCCTATTTTTCTCAATTTTTATATTATTTGGCCTATTTTTCTCAATATTCTATATTGTTTGCCCTTTATTCTAACTCTTTTTGCCCATTATTCTCTATTCTGTAAACCCCATCCAGACCCTCTTACATCAACAAAGTAAGAAAATCATGAAAATTAATTGGTGTGAAGTGGGACAAGAAGGCTTAAGTGCCAAAAAGTATTTGAAAAATTAAATTATTAAAAGTATATTGCGTAGTCATATATTTTCCTTGGTATAAATTGTTGTGGTTCGAGATAAATTTTCTAAAATGAAGATACTCAATTTTGTTGTTTCTGACATTTTTGGAATTTTTTTTATTGCCAAAGTTGCAGGAGAATAGGTTTGGTAAAAAAAAGGTTACATTTTGATAGCATTACTTGTATGTACTGAAATCGCAATAATAAATTTCACATTTTTGTCAATTATTCAATAATCGCAATAAATAATTGGGCCCATTTTTTTTTTAATTTACAGTATACTAGCCTTTCTGGGGACTATCATTGAGATCGGCTCTATAACATCCTTGCCTGAGTGGAGTTTATAAAATCGCATTACTTCGCATCTTGATGTATCACAGCCTCTTTTTGGCATCATACCTGGAAAGAAATAACATATTGTGTGCTTTGACAACTGTTAATTCTGAAATTTTTGCTATGTTTTTATTTTGGTGAAAATTGCAACAAGATAGATTTCACAAAAAATTCGTAAGGGTTCCGTGGAACCCAGTGTCTCGCCTACTTTTGGTGTTAATCGCAGGCTCAACAAAAATGAAGAAAAAAATTAATAAAAATATTCCCCTCTATACTATGTTTTGATTGTAAGTAGCTTCTGTCCAAGTTTGGTAAAAATCCAGGATAAATTATGAATCTAATAAATGTTTTAAAAACTTAAACTGCAGAATGTATGTAATGTTGACTGGAAGAAAAACTAAGTCCATTTATAAGTAAAACACAGAAAAAATGGAACAAAATTTTATCAAAATTTCCTTCTAGATACTATCTTATGATCATAAACAAGCTTCTTTCCAAGTTTGGTATAAATCCAGGATAGTTTAAGAAAGTTATTGAAATTTCAAAAACTTTAACCACAGAGTGAATGTAATGTTTCCTGGCAGAAAAACTAAGTCCATTTATAAGTAAAATACGGAAAAATGGAATTTTTTTTTTACAAAATCTACTTCTGGATACTATCTTATGATCATAAACAAGCTTCTTTCCAAGTTTGGTAGAAATCTAGGATAGTTTAAGAAAGTTATTGAAATTTTAAAAACTTTAACCACAGAGTGAATGTAATGTTAACTGGCAGAAAAACTAAGTCCACTTATAAGTAAAATACGGAAAAAATGGAATTTTTTTTTTACAAAATTTACTTTTGAATATAATCTTATGATCATAAACAAGCTTCTGTCCAAGTTTGGTAGAAATCCAGGATAGTTTAAGAAAGTTATTAAAATTTCAAAAACTTTAACCACAGAGTGAATATTTGTGGACGCCGCCGCCGCCGCCGACGACGACGACGACGCCGACGGAATGTAGGATCGCAATGTCTCGCTTTTTCGACAAAAGTCGAAGGCTCGACAAAAATGAAAACTCACTTTGCAATATTTTTATGCAATATTTCTTGTATATTCAATAATTAATCTGGCATCATTGTCCCTCATTCAATAATAGCAATAATAAATGCATTGTGTGTTTTTTTTGCTGTGCATGTACTGATTTTGTGTCATGGATGGATACCCCATATTCTTTGTTTTTATATTATGCAAAAATTTCTGAATTTCTGGCATTTATATATCAAGTAAATGTTAAACATACACAAAGTTGCCATCAATGAGTATACAGAAATAGACAGAAATAAAAAATATAATTTATTTGCAAAACTTTGTCTGAATTGATAAGTGTGGATTCTACTGTACTAAAGATTTACATGTGTTAGTTCTCTCTCATTAATTATTATTAATAATAATGAAAGATAAATATTTTGTATTGTTTACACAATAACCACTGTCATGGTGCTTGTTAAACAATTTATTTTTGCGGATACTTAGTTTTGCATTTATCCCTTTCTAACAGACGAATCACGGCGATTTATTTTTTCGCAACTTTCTAGTAAAATTTGCAACATTTCTTACCTAAACTCCGCTGTGGAAATGAAGACATGAAGGCGTTGAGGAAGAAACAATTTGATTGGTCATCAATTTCATAATATCGTATATTGCTATCACCTTTGCCTGCTAAATACATAACCCTATTGTCTCTGTCGTAATAAGGTAACAGAATTCCGTTTGATGTGTCAATTGTGCTCTTGAATAATGAATTGTTGATCTTCCTCTGAAATAGATAAAAAATATTTAAATCATGGTATTTCAATTGCTACAAACACTTAAGATAACCTAACAGTACATTTGTTAATTTTTTGGTGCTAAAAACTGTGAAAACTATCCCTGTTTCAGATATGCCAAATACCAGAGAGTAATTCTGTTAAAGGGGCATTAGCTATGAGATACAAAAAAAAAATAAAGTGTGATTTTTTTGGTTCAATCATCAATGAAAGTGAAATAGTGAAATGAGAATTTGCTTTTAGCAGCCAATTTGGTTCAATTTTGTCAAAATAAGATAAGAAACATTGCTGATGAATTATTTACTTGAAAGTGAATAATTCGACCTCATTAAATCTGTATCTATGTGACCTTTGATTAAACCCTTTAGCTGCAGGTGGGTTATGCATGTATTCAGCTATTTAAAGGAACATAATGTCAACAGTGAAAGTGAAACAAGGATGAAACATTTGGTTGACTGATTCGATCCACAAAAAAAGCCTTCTTATAACAGTTTGAAAAGATGATGAACATACTGTTTAACCTATAATATGAAATCAAACAAACCTAGAAAAATCCAATTGAACGTGGTAACTATCTTTTTATATCTATTTTTTAATTTATGTTTTTTATTGGGTTATATCAACGTCAGCAGTCTCTGGAGGTCATCTCGATGGTTAATTAGATGATGTTTACATATTATCAAGTCCATGCATTGATAATTGTTTATTTCTATGTATCGAGTCCATGCATTGTTAATAGTTTATTTTAGACTTTTTGTAGTTTGGATATATGTTTTAGTATTTTATAAATCTAATATGAGAATTTGAGACAAATCGTAGAATGTTTTAATATTAAAATTATTTCTGTCTGACCTTGAAACATAAGAATAACTATGATCTACAGAGTTCACGAAAATGGTCGGTCCTGTCGGTCCTGTCGGTCAAAATGAGGCTCGGACCAGTATTTTGAAGGCTAGTGCCGGTCCCGATGACCGATGTAAAAACGGCCGTTGTAGTGCATATTTCGGCACTTTTTTACATCGGTTATTAGATGTACCGCAACTGTTTCCAATAGGTGTTTACATCGGTTATCAGATGTACCCGCTGCCAATTTCCGGTACTGGTTTACGGATTTATTATAAACAAACCAAAGCGGCGATCTACACGTGGCCTACTAAATTTGTTCATAGAGCCATCCCTGGCAAACAATCGGCAATTGAACCCTACAATGGAGCAAACAAATACTGTAACAGCCGAGAAAGTGATTCAGATGATGAAATGGATAGTGAAGATGACTTTAAATAAGAACAGTCAGAAGACCTGAACTGGTCCTTCATTGTTAATTTGCCTGTGGGTGCGAAGAATAAAACTAATATTAATAAAGTTATTTTTCGATAAAATATGTTAATAATTTTATTTCAGGATAAAATTGACAGATTTTGTAGGACTGGCTAAAGTTTTGTAGGACTGACAAATAATCATGCTTTGTCGGTCCCATGACCGACGGGTCAAAATAAGTTTTCGCGAACTCTGGATCTATATTTGAAAATTTCAAAAATTAAATTTTTAAGACCATAAATGTATAAAACAGCTAGCATTACAAATGGCGGTTTTGCAATCATGTGCAAAATCATCTTATGAAACAACCGTATACTGTAAATTCGGAAATTATTGCGTGCATTTATTATTGCAAGTTTTTAAGAATGGGCAAAACTGCGAGATTAATTATTGCGATTTCAGGAAAACTTCATACAGACATATGCATCGAATTCAGAATGCGAGTTCTTATTATTGCAATACTCACAGAGTCGTATTATTTGCGATAATAAAAACCTCACAATAATTTCTGAATTTACAGTATCAGGGAAAAACATATATAATGCCTTAAAAAAAGTAAATTCAAATGGCGGGCTTCATGTTTGATGTTTTGCCATGGTCTTACTAATCTATTGAAGATATTCAGATGCTGTAAATGAAATATTTCTCTCTTTTCGGATATAAAGGGGAGATAATTTAATCCAAGCATTTTATTGTCACTGCTACAGTTTTATTCTTTTTTTTAATACAATTGTATGTTATGAAAATCAAATATTATGGTGGTACCAAACACCTTGACTAAAATTAATTTGGATCTTAAAATTTTTCATAAAATTTTGACAAATTTTTACTTTGACCCTTTGACAAAATATAAAAACTTCAAAAAACTTGAACCACACACTTTATCAAAAAAATTTCATTGGATATATAGCAGTTTGAAAAACACTAATTTTGATCATTGAGAAGCTTAATATTTCCTTAACAATAGAACATGATTAAAACGTTCAGATGATTTTTAAAGAGTTATCTCCCTGTAGTGCTATGTACCATTTTATATGACTTACAATATCCCAGACTGCAAGTTCTCTACCACTCGTTCTGGTCATACCGCATGTGAATATTCTATTATTATCTACAAATACTGATTTCGACGATCGGTTACCATCATGGCCTTGACCTTCCTACAAGACGAAAATACATTTCATCATTAAACTTTTAATTTTAATTACATTTATTACATTATTCTAATGAAAATGTAACCACCCACAATTAAGTAGTTTGAGTTCCTCCCATCAACCCCCCCCCCCCTCCTCCTCCCCCACAATGATCAATTTTGGAACAGTCCTAATTGCCATGCAAGACACCTTGGTGTTCTAGTTGGTGGCTGAACTATGATGGTTTTTATTTAATTTATTCATAATTTGTATACACTCTGGAAGATAAAGAGCTTGACACCTGTCTATTGTAGAAGACTGTGTGTTGCCCTGTGTTGAGGTTTAGTAATTTCATTTTTTGGGTATAAATCTCATTATTTTATATCCCACTAATCCTTTTTCATAACAAATTAAAGAACCTTTGATAGCATTTTCACATACCCCACGCCCCCTTATTGTCACTGGGCAAACAAAATATCACCAGATTCCCAAGTTCAAAGACACATAACTCCTAGAAAAGTCAACAGATAATTTTTTTATTGTGGATATGCACATCAAAATAATATGTCCTTATTATCTACAGAGTTTCAGCAAATTCTGTTGTTTGGTTTCAGAGGAGTTGCGATGACAAACCGTTGCAGTAGTGCATTTGGGCCAAAATTCTAAGTCCAAAGGGGCATAACTACTAGAAAAAGATTTGAATCATAATTTCCTGTTGATATTCATATCTACATGGTATGTCCTCATTCTATACAAAGTTTCATAAAATTATGTCGTGTGGTTTCATAGTTGTGATGACAAACTGTTGCAATAGTATATTTAGGCCAAAATTCTAAGTTCAAAGGGGTATAACTCCTAGAAAAAAAATTAAATCATAATTTCCTGTTGATATGCACATCTACATAGTATGTCCTATCTAACTACAAAGTTTCACAAAATTCCATTGTGTGGATTCAGAGGAGTGCAAAGCCTAGAACAGGACTAACAGACAGACAGGACAAAAACATTATACCCTTGTTCAGTGGGGTATAATAATGTGCAGCATTATAAACCCTTCAACACTTGCTTCAATTAGAAATTTTCAATTGTTTGTTCTTTAAATGTTCTTACCATTGCAACACTTGTGGTTCTGGGATCGAGAACTCTGATCTGTTTGTCCTTACATGTAGTGCAGAACAAGCTACCGTCTGTGTTCCATGATATGGAATAAATACTGTCTGGATGTTCGGATATGACACTGATTGGTTCGGCCTGCTCCACATTCCATAATATACACTGCAAATAAAATATTCCAGATTATGCACTGCAAATAAAATATTCCATATTAGGCCAATTAAAATTAATTGATAGATTTTCATCCCCGCCCGCCCCTCTGAAATCGTTCCGCCCCAATTTTTTTTTATTTTGAAAAATTTACGATTTCCGGATTTTGTTCATTTTCGTTACCGGTAACTGTCGATACTTTCGTTTCATTAATAACATCCTGTTTCAAATTTTGGTTTTTGCATTTCTTTGTATGTTTGATTCGTTATACATGTATATACATGATAGAACCTTATTATTACACTTGCATATATGAAGAACACGTCACAAGAGCGTTTCATATCTAATAAAAAATAAAAAATAAAATCCTCCCACCCACCCCATTTTTTTCAAAAATTTGGATGAAAATCTACTAATTAAATTTACTTGGCCTTATACACTGTAAATATAAAATTCCATATCATGCACTGTTCAATAAATTGCAGTATTATTATACTATACATAAAATATTCCAAAACATACACTGCATATAAACTATTCTTCAATGTACACTATACATAAATATTTTCCAATTACATTGTACATAAAATATAACAAGCATTCTGAGAGTATTGCATGGCAATACATAGTCCCCTACCAGTTAAAAATTCATTGTATTTGAACAAAATGCTAACTTTATCGAAAACTTGTCATGGTGTAAACCTTATAACAAATATCAAGTCAATATCTTCAAGCATGACGAAAAAAAGTGTGGAAAACTGATTATTTGAGTGAATTTTCTAAGTCCAAGGACCATAACTCTGCACAAAATCATCAGACTGGAACAAAATTTGAACTTGATCTGTAATTTGTCATGATAGAACAATATATAAATTATCAAATCAATATCTTCAAACATGACGAAAAAAAGTGCAGAAAACTGATTATTTGAGTGAATTTTCTTAGTCCAAGGACCATAACTCTGCACAAAATCATCAGACCAGAACAAAATTTGAACTTGATCTGTTACTTGTCATGATAAAACAATACACCAAATATCAAATCAATATCTTCAAGGAAGAAGAAAAAAAGTGTGGAAAACTGAATTGCCGGACTGATGGACGTACAGACAGACAGACAAACAGACAGAGTGCAAACCTAAAGTCCCCTTCGACTTTGTCGGTAGGGGACTAATTAACATTACTTTGTATATTTTTACTTTGATCTTTTTTTGTGATAATTTTTCACATCATGCTACTCACTTGAGATAGAAAATTATCATTAGAAGCTAAGGGCGCACATGCCAGTGTCAATGTAAACATCAACAACTTCATAGACAAAATAACGATAAACAGATTATCAGTAGTCTTTAAAACTGGAGGAAGTTTCTCGGCCACCTCCTCTCAGGGTTGTTGCCCTTCAATGAGATTGTAGCTGAGAAACACTCTCTCGTTTGAAAAACCATCGGTAATGTATTAGTCTCTAATTAATGTTCAAATTGAATATTTTCAGTCTGTTTGCATCATCAACTAGAGAATACAAAATAAGTGTAACATGTCAAAAATAGGTATTGTACATGTATTTTTTTTTTCTCTTCTAAATCAATTTCTATGTTTATTATAGTCTGTGTTTAATTTAGATTAATTTCAAGCTGTCTCAAAAAATGCACAAAGAATTAATATCCTATTTGAACTGACAAAAGTTTTAAAGCTGTCTGACAGAAATTAACACAGGTCGTCTGTCAATTTCAATATGTCTGCATCAGATATCTACATCTGTATAGTATACTGACACTCTACCTTATGATCAAAGCCAGCACTAAGTATAATGTTCTCTGCTGTTGGATGCCATTCAATGTATCCAACTCTCCGATGATGGCCGTGGAGATCCACTTGCCATTCTGATAAATTTTTGTTAAGATTATCTGGAATTTGCCATATTTTTACCTACAATGGAAAAACAAAAATCATTTAAATTAAAAATTGTCAAGATAGAAATTATCACAAAAATCCCAGCAAGTCTGACTAAACTTAGTTGATATCAGTCAGATGTCGATATTGTCCGTTTTTTAATCATCCCAGAAGGACAGAATTACAGATACATGTACTTATATTCAAAATATTCAGGTTCACTATACAATCGTGGTTTCCTGTGGTTCAAGTGTGTTTTTCAGTAAAATTTTGGTAGTAGAAAAAAAATTGAATAAAAACTGGTGCAATAACGTGAAACTTTTTAATTTTTCTTTATATATATACATGTATATATACAAAATCAGAAAAATCACTGATATAAATCACTGCAAAGTCAACTAAACGTGGTTTTTGAGGAAAAAATTTGGTTTGCAGTATAGCCCTTTCCAGAAACTCGTATCCAGAATCAGGATGTTTGATCTAAAATTTTAATTTCAAGCAGGTTATTTCCCTTGATGAACATTACATTTGCTTACTGGCAATGAAGAGTCAACAATAAGTGGTTCTTAATTTGTGTTAATTTAAAGATAATATTTTTTTTTTTTAATTTATACTTTAATAACAGTCTTCTTGTTTCCAAAATACTTGTAAGCAAACTTGATTATAAAGCTGGAAATACTTGTATAATAAAATAACATTATTTTCTATTTATTTCTCAACATTGCTCGGAATTGCAGTGAATCAGTATTTTTACCAGTAAACTTTTTAAAAAAGGGAATTAACTTATATTCAATTGTTTTTTTAAAATCTGATTCTGACATTCAGAAAGCATGTTTTAAGAAAGGACTACATGATGGTCTGTTGGCACTTACTGTGCTATCTTCTGATGATGATGCTATGATGTTATCACTAAAGGGACTCCATTTTATGTCTAATACTGCTCCTGAATGACCACATACTTTAGGAACACTGAACTCTACTCTACCAGTCTGAAAAACAAATATAAAGAGACATAAATATAAAACTCTAGTAAGACTGCACTGTACTCTCCCAGTCTGATATAAAAAAAAACTTATATTGATTGATTGATGCTTTCTTTACGTCCTTAGGCAAATATTTCAATCACTGTACAGACTAAAATACATTATGATTAGTTAGAACAATAGGTATGTCTTGCAATTGGGTTGACAGAGATGAATGGAAGAATACAATAAATTCAGAAATTTGTGTGATTTTTTATTATTGTGAAAGACATTTTTGGCAAAAACAATAATTTCATTTTAAATTTTGATAGTAAAATTTCTATGCAGTATTTTCTGAGACTGCCATAATTGATTTAGCACTTGTGTCAACTGTTCAACAATTACAATAAAAGCCCACACAAAAATTGACGTAGGCATTTAGAAATCCATTACCATATCAGCTATACTTAAGTTATGTATAAGTTACTTTCTAAAACAAATCCTATGCTAACAAACTCAATTTTAACCAGTCTTCAACAATTAGGTATTTGGTATAGAATAACTATACATTGTCTCGAAATATAAATTTTATTTGTACAAGGCTTAGACACAGGTAGAAAACATGGCTTTTGCCAAGCATTTCTATCCTGTTTTGAGTCGAGTACAAATAAAATTAATATTTCGAGACAATTTATCGGTTATTCTTTATATACTAACTGCAACTCCTATAACTGTTTCAAATGAAATATTTACGGTAAAAACCATCATTTTAAATGTGGAGTGGAAGACGTAAAATTTCCGCGAACCTCTGTTGTTAAAACTCTACGGAAACACATTGTCAACGTCATAAGCAAGGCAATATACAGTCAGTGACTGTAGATAACAAATGAATATGGGTTCAGTGCAATTTGACTGCGCAAATAGCACAGCTGCAGTATATAAGCTAAATATTATAATTAAATGTACTATATGAATGTGCGTGATCAATGTCATTAAAACAGAAAAGAAGCAGTACAGGTTGACAAACACAGACATTTTGAGGTAAACATACTGTTTTAACGAAGACAAAAGTCTATACAATGTGTCAAGCTCTAAATTGCCATTGTAGGAGTAAATTTGATGGAGACAATATAAGACCAGCATGCAACACCAAATCCCTGAATGACCATAAAGAACCACTGACAGGGTTTCTGACTTAGGGTAGGTATATTAACATGTATTAGGGTTAACAAGTTTTTTGAGATCTCAATATTCTCCCTTTTTATCTGGATCTGTGGAATAACAAGATTTTTTAAAAGAATGTACATTTACAGAACCATTAGTGGGCAAGCATTTTGTCTGGTTCAGTCCTTTATAGCTGACTATAAGTATGGGTTTTGCTCAATGTTGAAGGCCGTACGGTGACCAATAGCTGCTTACATCCACATCATTTGGACTCTGGTGGATAGTTGTCTCATTGGCAATCATTAAATATCTCCATACTTTTATATAAAGGAAGGACGCCTTTCTGGAATTTTGGGATTGAGCTGTTTAATTCATGGGAATTTGGGAATAACCAGTTAAATCCAATGAATCTCTGTAAATCAGGATCCAAAAATATTGTGATGCGCTAACAGACATATTATTTTCACGGAAATTCAAAATAATGAATTTGTCATTTATTTTCTCAAGAATTTGGGATAAAACCCCTCCTCAACCCCTCGATCTATAATCTTACCTGTTTAAGAGGAAGACATATAAATGATCCTCCACCACCTGTGTCAGGGACAACACACAAAAATTTAGGGTTTACGGCACAAAAATTACTGTCATGTGTACTCTTAGTTATTTTTACGTTCTCGTAACATTCTTCCTTTTTGGCAGGATTTCCATACACGTGTCTGAACTTTGAAGTACGAATTCTAAATGGCATCTGAAAGTACATAGAAAATGTTAATGATATACAGTGAAACCTGTTTTAAGAGACCACTAAAGATAGAGCACAAAAGTGGTCTCATAAGACAGGTGGTCTTTTAATACAGGTTCAATCTATATGAAATGCACTACAGAGGGACTTACAAGTAACAGGTGGTCTTCTTAATCAGCTTTGACTGTACCTTTATAAAATTGTACATCAATAGATTAATGTTTCATTATTATGCATGGTATGTTTTATAAAAAAAAATGTTTCGTACAAATTAACCCTTGCTAGAAAAAGATCTAAAACATTATCATATGTTTTTACCAAAAAATTTAACAACATCTATGGGTATTTGACATTTTTAATACTGTTTAGGCCAAGTAAATTTAATTAGTAGATTTTCATCCAAATTTTTGAAAAAAATGGGGTGGGTGGGAGGATTTTATTTTTTATTTTTTATTAGATATGAAACGCTCTTGTGACGTGTTCTTCATATATGCAAGTGTAATAATAAGGTTCTATCATGTATATACATGTATAACGAATCAAACATACAAAGAAATGCAAAAACCAAAATTTGAAACAGGATGTTATTAATGAAACGAAAGTATCGACAGTTACCGGTAACGAAAATGAACAAAATCCGGAAATCGTAAATTTTTCAAAATAAAAAAAAATTGGGGCGGAACGATTTCAGAGGGGCGGGCGGGGATGAAAATCTATCAATTAATTTTAATTGGCCTTAGTGGATAAAAATCAAAATCAAGGAATGGGAAAAATGCTGAAATTAAATTACCCTAGAAATCATGAAAATTTAAACCCTTCATCAATACACTACTTTACTTTGTGTTGGAGTTATAGAACCGACTTTAAACAGTAAGTCAAAAGAAGCCTAATAGGAATTCATTTCTGAGACAAAATACAGAAATAAGTTGGAAATGACGTATGTAGAATAACACTGCCTTTTGCCGTTATTGTCAAACTGGTTAAAATTTTACCGTGATTCGTCAAAATATCCTTATCCTGTTTCATCAGAGGTCTCAAATAATTATCGTTACTGTTATTTTTGGAAAAAATTTAGCGTGATTCGTCAAAATCAGTTGATTTTTTTTATCGTCTAAAAGAAAGTGTACATTTTATCGTCATGCACCAAAAATTACCGTTAACGTCATTTGGCAAGAATTTTTACCTTTATTCGTCATAAAGGTACCCCCATTACGACCTTCAGTTAAAATTCATTTGTATGATTCCTAGATTGCCTTAATCCATTCAATCTATAAAAATTATCAGCCACAATTGATCATGCATTATTCTAATGAAACTCCAAGTTCTTTACAAGTGTGTTAGCAAATAAACAGACAAAACAGACAGATGTTGAATGTCCTATTTATTGACCCACAGAATATGTAACAGCAGATATTTCTACCATGCACATCAATCAATATCCTGGTCTCCAGAGGTGTAAAATCTATTTAATTATTCATGCAACAGATTTATGAGACAAACTTCCTTCTAAACTTTATTTAATGGTCTGTAAAATGCAGTTTTCCTTTCTCAATCTGTAGTTTTACTTTTTACTTTAATGCATTTTAACAATAACATGCAGAAATGTTCATGGTAAATATATATAGCAAAACCTATCGATTCAATTTACTTTCAGTACGAAACTTCCTTCTAAATTTTATCTAATGGCCTGTAAAATGCAGTTTTCGTTTCTCAACCTGCAGTTTTATTTTTATAAATTTTAATAAAAAACATGCATGTAGAAATGTTAGCGAAAAACTATCAATTCAATTTTACTTTCAGTATGATTTGCATTAACAATATCTTTCTCGAATCTTCAGTTCAAGTACTGTTTTTACTACTGTATTCTAAATTCTTAAAGCTGTTTCAATCTTTAAAGGTTACACCCAATCATTTAGTAAGTTATTTATGAGTTGGCATTGATGTATCAGGAAAACAAAGTCAGAATGCAAATTTTGGCGCAAAACATTTTTTGTCCGTCCTTTAGATCGAAAAAATATTATAAAGTTCACATTGTTTTGTTCTCTGCCATTGTTTATTACGAATAAAAAAAGAATGTGTCTCAGGACACAAATGCTCAAGCTTTCCATTTTTCCAAGTAAAAAAGGGGCATAATTCTAGAACTCTAAATGACCCACAACACAAATTCGAACTCTGTCTGCATGTTGTGGTTTTAGCAATGTGTATGAGTTTAGGATGGGACAAACTTAAGTTAGAGTGCAGAAACGAAAATATGACGGATGGACAGACGGAAAGACATATGGCCAGTCAAGGGTAACACTTAATGCCCCTGTCGCCTACCGCGGGGGCATAATTACCAAGGACGTATATTAGATTGTTATTTATACGTCCTTGGAATTAAAACAAAATTAATATGAACTCCAACTGCAAATTTTCATTCTTCCCATTCTGTAATAAAATGGTTACTAAGGATTCATTTATTTTCGTGGGTACCAATTTTCGTGGATTGAGGAAAACTTACACTTCCATGGATATTTTATTTCTTGGTTTTGCTAAAGTCTGCATACAAGTCAATGGAAAATTTGTAATTCGTTTAACATTTAAATTCGTGGGTCACCTGTACCCACGAAATCCACGAAAATTGATATCCAACGAAAAATAATAAATTCACAGTAGTTTCGAAGGTAAATCAGTAAAAGGTATTTGTTTACATTCCTACATCTTAATTTTTGTTTACTTGAATTTGTTAGTAATTGGGACAAAATTGTACACACAAAAATTTTTAGTCGTCTGCAAGCTTTCTAGAACACAGAACCATGAGCATGCCATACTAAGATCTAAAAATAATACACCACTTGTGTATAACTTAAGAAAACCTAAACTTATATAAGCTAGTTGACTAAACACATTTATAAAGGAATAAAATTCAATACATAATATACAAACAACAAAAAATTTTTGTACCCCTCCCATTCCAAAGTATAGGTTTTCTCAATGTTGTAAGCACCACTTATAAACATCTATGAATACCTAAACTTCTATTAGCTAGTTGACTAAACAAATTTATTAAGGAATAAAATTCAATTCACATTTTGTCCCACGACATATAAAATTACACTTTAAAAAACTGTTTAAAGGACCTAATATAAATGTAAAATAACTTTGAAAAGATATATCAAACTTGTAATAAAAGTTAATAGCTTATGTAATATATCAGTACCTGGTTTATAGAGATGTAATAATTTACTTTTAATAGGCCATGACATAAAAGTAAACAAACCACAATGTATGTAAACAAATCAAGTCAGGTGTGACATTTTGGGGGAATTACTTACAGTATAAACAACACAACAAATAGATTGGTATACTGATCTTTCATTCAGGCAAATAATTTGAGACCAAAATCTTCCCTAATAAAAAAAACAGAAAAACTATATACTGTATTTTTAAATACTCTATGGAGAAATACATGTACCATTGAACCTACAGTATTGTTAATTCAACAAAATAGATTAAATACTGATCTTATATTCAGGAAAACAATTTGTGAGACAAAAAATCTTCCCTACATATCCAAAAAGACTTTATGTACTGTATTTGCGAATATTCTGTGGAGAATTACCATTGAGCACTGTGGTGAAACTAACTTCAGTATTGTCAATTAAAAAAAAAATAATGGATTGATTGTTTGCTTAACCTCCAGTGACAACTAAATAGATCATATACTGATCTTTCATTAGGGCAAATTATCTGAGAGACAAAAAAATTTTCCCTATTTAATTTGTGAACAAGACTTTAAATAGTATTTGTTAATACACAATTAACAGGTCTGGCAGCATGCTTTTTATAAAATACAAGTCTAGGCATTGGTTAATTTTAATTTAAGAATATGCGAGTTTTGAAAGGGTTAAGGTGACATTCAATATATATATTCAACAGTAAGACAATTTTTTACATTACCCAAGACTATGTTTTGATCTTTTGTAATATATGCTTATTCAATCGCGGGAGAGGATTTAAAAGTAAGTCTATAATTGGAATATAAACATATATCATTGTGAATTCATTATCATTCGTGGGATATCAATTTTTTTTTTTATTTCGTTAGTATAGGTAATTTAAATGATCAAGGTCCTACATATTTTCTAAATAGGATTAAATGCAGACTTTGGCAAAACCGTGAAATCAAATATCCACAAAAAATACATATTTTTTCTCAATTCTGATTATTCACAAAAATAATAATAGAATCCCCTGTATTTGGATTTTTCAATCCTTTCCTCAATCTTTTTTCCTTTCATCACATCGTAAAATAACAAAATGACAGTTAAAAACAAGCTACATGTACTAGTATTGAAAACAACAACAAAAAATCACACACTTACAACAAAATATATTAAGACTGGTTTACATTTAAAGCTTCAAAAGCAAGACAAAAAATATACTATTCTTAAAGGAAATACTATAATCTACAAAGAATACAAACACTAACTGAATGGGAAAAATATAAATACTTTCGACAGATAAAAATTACTCAACCTTTGACCGCTGTTCATTTATCACAGAAATATTTCAGGCAATTTTACCCCTATTCAAGGACGTATTAATTATAAATCCTTGCTCTTTTCAATGATCATGATTTAAAGCTAATAATCTCACAGAAATATTAAAGTGCATAGAATGCTATTCTTTAATAGAAATACTATCTTAAAACAACTGAATGGGGAAAATATAATTATTGTTGACAGATAAAAAAAACTCTACCTTTTATCCACTGTCCATTGATCATGTGGATCATAATGTAATAGGAGTACTTCTTGTAAACAGTAAAAATGTACCAGATCAATAAACCTAATACATTAACACAATTATATGGTCATAAATAACTGATGTTTATTTTATTGTTTGTCAATGGACTTGTCAGGGAGGGGGTGGTTTGTGAAATAAGTCATGGCATTTAATAATTGGACTATGGTATTATCAGTCTAGAACTCTTTTTACAAGGAGAAATAAAGTAAATTTATATAAAACACAATTATATGGTCATAAATAAATGATGTTTATTTTATTGTTTGTCAATGGGCTTGGCAGGAAGGGTGGGTGTGAAAGAAGTCATGGCATTTAATAATTGGACTATGTTGCATATACTGGTACAAGAAATCAGTCTATTGCCCTTTTACATGGAGAAATAAAGTAAATTTATATAAAACAAAATTACATGGTGATAAATAATTGATGTTTACTTCTATTGTTTGTCAATGGACTTTTTGAACAACAAATTTTTGGGGCCCTTTATAGCTTGCTGTTCGGTGTGAGCCAATGCTCCGTGTTGAAGGCCGTACCTTGACCTATAATGGTTTACTTTTATAAATTGTAACTTGGATGGAGAGTTGTCTCATTGGCACTCATACCACATCTTCCTATATCTATTGTCAGGGAGGTTGTGATTTGTGAAAGAAGTCATGGCATTTTATAATCGGACTATGTTGCATGTACCGATACAAGGAATTTATAATCAGTCAAGTGCCCCTTTACAAGGAGAAATAAAGCAAATTTATATAAAACACAATTGTATGGTCATAAATAACTGATGTTTATTTCTTTTGTTTGTCAATGGACTTTTTGAACAACAAATTTATTTATGTTGTAAAAAATATCTCCGTACTCCTATAAACAAAATTATTATATTGAAATTTTACATGTGTACGTTATTTTATTTAACACCATTTTGTCCAAGGTTATAGTTGTCTTTTTGACACTGTTTTACATCCCCCCTTTTTTATTTAATATTGAATTTATATTGTGTCATAGATCAAATTTATTTAGACAGCGTATGTTTCCTTGTTTTTGTTAGTATGTCTTTTTTCTTGAGTTAAGCCATTTCAATTGATATTTTATAGTGTGTCTTTCTATGTTGTAATGTTACACTACTATTTCAGGTTAGGGTGAAGGTTGGCGCCTGTTAAAACGTTTAAACCCGATGAATTTGTTTGCACCTGTCCTAAGTCAGGAACCTGTTTCAGTGGTTGTCGTTTGTTGATGTGGTACTTAAGTGTTTCTCGTCACGTTTTTAATATAGATAAGACCGTTGGTTTTCCTGTTTGACTTGTTTTACACTAGTCATTTTGTAGACCGTTGGTTTTCCCGTTTGAACTGTTTTACACTAGTCATTTTGTAGACCATTGGTTTTCCTATTTGAATTGTTTCATACTAGTCATTTTGGGGCCCTTTATAGTTGGCTGTTCAGTGTGAACAAAGGCTCGGTGTTGAAGGCTGTACTTTGACCTATAATTGTTTACTTTTTACACATTGCGACATGGATGAAGAGTTGTCTCATTGGCACTCATACCACATCTTCTTATTTATATTGTCAGGGAGGGGATGGTTTGTGAAAGGAGTCATGGCATTTTAGTAATTGGACTGTGTAATATGTACAAGATATTATCATTCTAGAACCCTTATACATGGAGAAATAAAGCAAATATATATAAAACACAATAATTGGAATTTATGTCCCTGATTCACTATTTGATTGTTTCTCAATAAACTTGTCAAGAAGGGGTGGCCTCTGAAAGAGGTGATTGCATTTTAGTAATTGGACTGTGGTAAACATACAAGGAATTCAGTGGCGGATCCAGAACTTTTTATAAGGGGGGCCCTCTGACTGACCTAAGGGGGGTTTTCCGCTCCAGTCATGCTTCAGTGATTCCCTATATAATCAACCAAATTTTTTCCACAAAAGGGGGGGCCCCCTGGATCTGCCTATGGGAATTGTCAGTTTAGCGTGCTGCTACAAGGATAAATAGAGCAAAATCATTTAAAACACAATTATAGGAATTTGTGTCACTGATATCTATTTTATTGTTTTTTAATGGGAGTTGTCAGGGAAAAGAAAGAAGTCATTGCATTTCAGTAATTGGATTGTGTTTAATACACAGCTCATCTTATTATTATGATAATGTAAATTTAAACCAAATATAACTGTCATTGTTGAGTTTTGTCCTTTTTCAGCTTGCACAGAGCTAGATGTTTTTTTCTTAAAACTAGAGGCTCTAAAGAGCCTGTGTCGCTCACCTTGGTCTATGTGCATATTAAACAAAGGACACAGATGGATTCATGACAAAATTGTGTTTTGGTGATGGTGATGTGTTTGTAGATCTTACTTTACTGAACATTCTTGCTCCTTACTACTATCTCTATCTATAATGAACTTGGCCCGGTAATTACAGTGGAAAATACTTTGTAAAAATTTACAAAAATTTACAAAATTTATGAAAATTGTAAAAAATTGACTATAAAGGGCAATAACTCCTTAAGGGGTCAATTGACAATTTTGGTCATGTTGCCTTATTTGTAGATCTAACTTTGCTGTACATTATTGCTGTTTACAGTTTATCTCTATCTATAATAATATTCAAGATAATAACCAAAAGCTGCAAAATTTTCTTAAAATTACCAATTCAGGGGCAGCAACCCAACAACGTGTTGCCTGATTGGTCTGAAAATTTCAGGGCAGATAGATCTTGACCTAATGAACAATTTTATCCTCATCAGATTTGTTCTAAATGCTTTGGTTTCAGAGATATGAGCCAAAAACTGCATTTTACCCTATGTACTATTTTTTAGCCATGTCGGCCATCTTGGTTCGCGGGCGGGGTCATCGGACACATTTTTTAAACTAGATACTCTAATGATGATTGTGGACAAGTTTGGTTAAATTTGTCTTAGTAGTTTCAGAGGAGAAGATTTTTGTAAAAGATTACAAAAATTTACGAAAAATGGTTAAAAATTGACTATAAAGGGCAATAACTCCTTAAGGGGTCAATTCACCATTTTGGTCATGTTGACTTATTTGTAGATCTTACTCTGCTGAACATTATTGCTGTTTACAGTTTATCTCTATCTATAATAATATTCAAGATAATAACCAAAAACGGCAAAATTTCCTTAAAATTACCAATTCAGGGGCAGCAACCCAACAACGGGTTGTCCGATTCATCTGAAAATTTCAGGGCAGATAGATCTTGACCTGATAAACAATTTTACCCCATGTCAGATTTGCTCTAAATGCTTTGGTTTCAGAGATATATGCCAAAATCTACATTTTACCCCTATGTTCTATTTTTAGCCATGGCGGCCATCTTGGTTGGTTGGCCGGGTCACCGGACACATTTTTTAAACTAGATACTCCAATGATGATTGTGGCCAAGTTTGTTCAAGATTGGCCCAGTAGTTTCAGAGGAGAAGATTTTTGTAAAAGTTTACGGACGACGGACGACGGACGCAGGACGACGGACGCAAAGTGATGAGAAAAGCTCACTTGACCTTTCAGGTCAGGTGAGCTAAAAATTAATGGAGAATGTTTCCATGGGACACAGATGATGCCCCGGCTTGCATATAACAGTAGAAAGGGACATTACTCAAGAACGGTAAAAGTGACTAAGTAACGCAACCCAAATTCGAATTTGATTTGTATTTTGTGGTAAGAAGCATTGTGTATAAGTTTCATAACATTTGGTTGAGGCAAAATAAAGATAGAGAATGGAAAATAATTTTGGGACATACAGAGGGACATTGGTAACACTTAATGCCCCCTCCAGTGCGGCAGGGGCATAAAAAAGTATAGGTCTATACATTGTGTCAGATTAATAAATTTCATTCGGGTAATAGGAACAGCAATAACTATCATGGTGTCAGATTCATAATACTCATTCAAGGAGGATGAAAAGCACTACCTAACTATCAATACAACATCATATCATTTTAGTTAAAAACATCAAAGGCTTAAACTAAATGTAATCTGAGAACAGAATTTACCATGCTGTAGCTTTTCAAACAAAAAGACAAATAAACAAAGCCTGTACATGTACAATGAACCATGCTTTTTTACCTCCATGTTTGAAACTAATATTTTGGTCCAATTTGCTCAATTTAGTCACCACAAAGGCAAATACTGTACAATAAAATTATAAACAATAGAGCAAAACAGATCAATAATTCAGGAAAAGGCGAGAAATACAAGAATCTTACATTGGAATATACTGCATTTGTATGTTAACAAGCTTATTTTGGAACATACAATGTTAACTTGTATTGTTCATGTTGTTGGCATTTTGTCTCATTGACAGTTTGCTAAACATCTTCTACAAAGCTATGTTCCTTTTTTGCATTAAGAATTTTTAGATGATTTCACAGCGATTTATTTTTGTGATTTTCTATAACTTATTTAATGTATTCTTATCAGAGAATATGCAAGTTTGACATTTTCGCAAAAATTTTAGTCCGCTTTATATTTCTTCTCGCGAAAATCGTGAAAAATAAATTTCTTGAAAATTAGTTGGCTCACAGTATCACCAGATTCAATTCAAATCATGAACAGTGGCAACTAGTGTTGCAGGAACCTTGCTCAATTTTGTGTTTTCAGATTAATGTTATGTGTGTACTGTTGTTGTCCCTTTGTCTTTTTTTCTTTTGCCATGGTGTTTTTCTTCCATTTATAGTTTTTGATAGCACCTTCGATATCTTTCCCTCATTCTTGACATTAATGTAGGGTCATGCCATGGTGGCCAAGTGGTCTTTCGGAAATACATCTACAGTTTTCACTAGCAAGTCAACACTGAGATTGTGAGAATGAACCCTGCAGTCATAGCATATCTGATTTTTGAATGCCTACATTTATTTCAGTGGACCCTTCTGCCACCACCACCAACCACTACAACTTCTTGAAATATCTTCTTTGTTATTGCTTATACATCGTCATGGCCACTTAATTTTATTTTCTTATTGAAGACACTATCTGAAAATGCAGATCATATACTGCTTTCAGTTTAAGAATCAACATACCTCTTAATTGTTGGTTAATCTCTGATCTGTGGCTTTTATCTTCATATCGTTACACATCTGAATATTGGATCATAAGTACTGGAAAAATAAAAACACAAATATAAATTTCTTTACATCTTACCAGTAAATAAGCTTATCATAGATACCATGATTAAAATTTTGTATGCCAGAAACCATTTCGTCTACAAACGACTTGTCAGTGACACTCGAATCAAAAAAGGTAAAAAGGCCAAATAAAGTACAAAGTTGAAAAGCATTGAGGACCCAAAATTCCCAAAGGTAATCTATTCCTGGGGTAGAAAATCCTTAGTAATTTAAAGTGTAATATGGTACAAGACTAACTAGAGATAACTATCCTACAGAGAATAAAGGACACAGAAGTATTCAACTATAGGTCACAGTACAATGGCCTTCAACAATGAGCAAAACTCATATCATGAGGCAAAATATAAAAGGCCCACACATCATCATGACAAATATAAAACAGAGTTCTCTAAAAGTGGTGGTCTGAATGTTTTGACCAACACAATTTTGGTATTTTGCAATAGGAATTATAGTGAGGACAAGCAGAATTTCTTCAAGGACCACTAGGGGAAAACATTTTTTGAGAACTCTGATAAAAGGCCCATATATGAAAAGTATAACAGGCCCACACATGAAAAATACAATACAATTCAAACGAGGAAAGTTCATTTGTAATAAAAGTTGAATTTGCTATGATTTTCAACTGTTGAGAAACAACAGCTACTTTGCATCAGTTGGGTACTCAAGGTTGGGTAAACACAACAATTAAAACCAGACAAACCAGCAATGTATATTTTAATCATCATAAAAATAAACTTACCATACATATTCTTAACAAATAAATCAATTATATTTAATAAAAGTGTTTCTATATCCATAATGACATGGGCGTCTACATCAATATCTTTTCCAGTACATTTAATTCATGACATGCATTCGTTTAATTCATTTGTAGTCATGCATGTTTTACTGTTTTAATAGGTTTGCAAACTAATACCAGTGCAGCTCAAGTTATTTTATCAAAGCACTGTCATCTTTTTATAAATGGCCTTGACAGAAGCTTTAAAGGGAGATTTTTGTCTAATCTAATTTGTTATGCACAGTAAGATATACAATATACTTAGGTGACTTTGAAAAGTTGGTTTATATATGAATTAAATGACATTGATAAATTTTTGTTCTTATCAAATTTTCAAAGTTAGAGAATACAATTGTTATTTTTAATCCTTCATATTGCTCATTTCAAAGGGACTACCGGTAAAAGTTTGTATTTCATCAGTAGAATAGAGAATGGGAACGGAAAATGTGTCAAAGAGACAACCAGACCAAAGAGCAGAAAACAGCTAAAGGCCACCAAATTTGGTCTTCAATGCAGCAAGAAAATCCTGCACAGGGAGGCAGGCTTCAGATGGCTCCTAAACACTTATGTATACTAGTTCAGCAAAATGGAAGCCACACTAATCTCCGAAACATACAAATGAACCAAAATTTAAAAAAAAAAAAAAAAGACTAACAAAGGCTAAAAATGCATGTTTTACTGTTTTAGTAGGTGAACAAATCTACCAGTGCATCTCCAAGTTATTTTATCATTTTTAATCGGCCTTTACAGAAGCTTTAAAGGGACATTTTTTTTGGCGAAATTCAATCTTATCTTTTATACACAGTAACATATATCATGTATATACTTGTAAAGTAGTATTATGTATATATGCCAAATTTAAAAATTTGTTTACCAAGTGCGTGTAATACAAGAATGTATGAAAATAGCTGATCCAAATGTAAAGTTATCTAAAAACTGATTTAAATGTTAATTTTCAAACTACCATAGTTGATTTTTTTGTGGATGACAAAAAATTGACTTAAGTCTCACAACTATTTTGATGACCTAAGATGCGGTCACATTAATCATAAAACTTACCAATAATTGTACAATGAATTCATTTATTTCTGTTTACATCAGTTTTCATGGTTGGAGAAGACACTTGCTATTTTGAATGTTCCATAAAATCTTGTTACCTCATATTGCTCATTTCAAAGTCACTAAAAACTTATTTTTCATCAATTTAAATATGGGGTTTCCCCTAGCTAGCTTACCCATAAAATCAAATAAAATTGGTATCTAACAAATATTAATGAATTAAATGAATGTTGAGTTAAATAGGGTGAGAAAGCAACCAAACAATAACTATTAAGTTTCGGATACTATAAATTATTTACCCTGAAGATAAATTGTAAAGTGTTTCTAAAAATCACTTCCAAGATGTTCCATTTGCATCCTGTTCTCAGGGGTGGATTCAAGGGGGGCATAGAAGGTGTACCCCCTTTTCGATTAAAAAACAGATTTTTTTAGCATAAAATTGTCCAAAACAATTTCTGCAATTTAAACCTATTTTTGGAATTACGACCATCCCCCCCCTTACCTCCCCTTTCCAGAAATTAAGGATCCACCTCTGTCCTGTTCTTTCGGCAAGATCTAACTTTTTTCCCCGTGTGACATTTTTCAAAACAATGATCATGTGACTAATGCATTTTCTATGAACCTTGAAAATGTGGTTCTTCAAAAAGATCAAATGAACCTTCACCCGCTAGGTTTTTCAACTATACATCTATACCAGGTAGACATAAACTATATCATATTTCTTCTTAATCTAACCTATTGTATTAATAATCATCACCTCTTCACCTTATGTACACCTTAAAGGCATGAGAAAAAGTGGATGGAAATTATTTTAAGCTACTTTTCTACATGATATCTAAAAAAAATTAAAGTTCTTTAAACTTGATATAGTTATTAGAAAACGCCTCTGGTAAATATTTTCCATTCCTGATAAAAAAATTTGCATTTCGAAATATTTCGACTGTGTAAATTGTATTTGAGAACTCACAACAACTAGATGTGCGACCAATATTTTCTGAAAATGTCTTTAGTTACTTTTGTACAAACAACAAAATGAACAGACTGGGTCCTACATTTAATTAAAGCATTATGCCTTGGACGTCTGTAATTAAAACATTTAAGGTTCCCTCCCAGAAAAAACCTCAGGGGGTCCAAATCATGGATCTACATATACCTGTATGGTTAATGAATAGAATTTTTACATGTTCTGCTCCTAACATTACCCAGTTTGCCCCCCATTCCCCCCCCCCCCCCCCCCCCCCCCCCCCCCCCCCCCCCCACCTCCCCCCTTCCCCCCTTCCTTTTTCAAAATTCTGGTTCCACATCTGCAGATATGTTCACCAACTTGAATCCTTGAAGGTTCCTTTTATTCATAAAATAACCAACACTTCCAATCATATCTAGCTCAAGATAATAAACAATGTAGATATCCGATTATGTAGGACCACTGTATTGACTGTTGTTTTAAAAATTGATGACAGAATGATTTTATTGATTTACAGAAATAATACAAATTGTATAACAAAACTATTCAATATTGTGACATAAACAATAAAAAAAACTTGTGTGACTAAAAAATTCAATAAACAAAAGAACAATAATTGATTATTCATGCAGTATTATCTATAAATATGTACACAGACAATCAAAAGTATTAGTCCCCTGTCCAAGGGTTCAAATTCAAATAATAAAAGGTCCATGACCATTTTAATTTTCAATAAAAAAGTATATAAAAGACAGGTCCCAGATCTGGGTCCCACACTTATTTGGACCCTAGGACTGCAGTAATCAATTCTTAAAAGGAAAAAGAAAAAGAATTCCATATTACAGACAGAATAAGGGCATGAACTGGAAAACTAAAGAAAAATTGATAGTGATGGTAATCTGATAAATTTTTAACCATGCAGCCATCAATTCAAATAAAGAGTACTTCAGAACATCAATAGTGCGATAAATATTAACCCATACAGTTATTAATTCTAGTTAAGGAAAAAGAAACACAATTCCCTATCGACAGACAGACTAAGGTCATGAACATTTTTAAAAATAAAGAAAACCTTTAGAGCTGATAGCAACACTGATAGCAACAATAATTCGATAAATTTTAAACCATTCAGTCATCGATTTTTGTTGAGGAAAAAGAAAAACAATTCCATATCACAGACAAACTAAAGACATGAACATTAAAAAAAAGAAAACCTTAAAGCTGATGGCGACAAAATATATAAATTGAATAAATTTTAACCCATGTAGTCATCGATTCTTGTTGAGGAAAAAGAAAAACAATTCCAATTTCACAGACAGACTAAAGACATGAATATTTAAAATAAAGAAACCTGATAAGGAACCACAATTCAATTACATTAAAAACAATTTACTTCTCAATAACCTTAATAACGGAGAGTGTCCTTCACATGGCTTCACAACATTTTGGGGTTCAAGATTTCATTTTGCCCTGTTATATACAAATGTTTATAGTTAGTATTAAACTAGAGCTTTTCCATTTTTTAAAAATTTTCTTGATTGACCCTTGGTCTCATCATGGAAGTAATATTGCTTCCAAGGTCTCATCTTTTTACTAGAAAAAAACCCTTACCTGTGTGCTGTGGAAAAGAACAGAAATTGACAACAGTCAGTGAATGTTTACATTGGCATGGTTCAGTGCACATTCTTACACTAGTTACATGACTAAAGTCTGATATTGATTCTGACTTACTGAGGTTTATCAATATCATTTAAATGTGTCAATCCAGTTGCTTACTGCATACTATGACTCAACAAATGAACTATAGAAAATGTTCAGCTTTAGAATTCATAGCAAATATTTTATTTTATTTTTAAGAAAATCATTAGAACTGAGATTAGACAGCATCATGCTCCATTTGGTTTTAGATTTTAAAATATTTTTATGCAATAATGCAGGAATTTGGTAACATACTTTTCCATATGTAATAATTGTGCATGTCATATATGTATGGGATTGAAGTAGAAAGTTACTCAAACATTCAGATGCATTTGTTTAGAATACTGTACAACAAAAAGGTGTTATTGGCATTTTAAGGCTTTCCTTACATACCCTGAAAAAACATTTTATAGATCTATGTTTTTACTTATAATAATATATACCCCCCAAGGGTGACTGGGGAATAGAA